ACCGACGCCAAGAGAAACGCCAGAGATTCTCACGTCCCTGTAAGAGAAATTCTTGCTCTGTTCTAATCCCCTGTTTTTGCATGTAAACTTATGATTTGGTTGAATGTTGAACGCAGATTTTGGCTCCTCTTCCAATTGGGTTTGCTGTGTTCTTGGTTCATTTGGCCACCATTCCGATCACCGGCACCGGCATTAACCCGGCGAGAAGTCTCGGAGCTGCCATTATCTACAACAGGGAACACGCATGGGATGACCATGTGAGTGTAACGCTATAAATTACCATTTTAGCATTGATTTTGGTACCCATTCTTGCTCACTAATTGAGGTAACTTCTATTATGTTGCAGTGGATCTTCTGGGTGGGGCCGTTCATTGGAGCTGCTCTGGCTGCGATTTACCACCAGATCATCATCAGAGCTATTCCATTCAAGGCCAGAGCTTGAAGAGAAGACCTTGATTCATTATCTTTGGAGTATCATCTTTTTATCATGTGTTTTTGTAATCTTTATTTGTTAATTTGGTGCCCTTCAGGTTCAGAACTGAGATGGATTTGTGTGTAAATTATTTTTGTGTTGTAATTTTCATGTTTTTATTGGACTTTTATTCTTTTGTGCATGAACTATCTCATTGGAATGTTTTTTTTTTTTTGTTTTTTCTTTTATAAGGTCAAAAGGATTCGAATCTCTACTATCTTTTTTTTGGAATAGAACGGAATAGGAGGTTCTAATTCTCATATTCTGTGATTGTGTGAAGTTAGAGATTCAAGTTCCCTCGTCTCGTTGGGGTTGGAGGCTCAAATCCCTACTACATCCTAGAACGTCAGAGATTCAAATCTCTATTATCTCTTGTGAGATCGGAGGTTTAAATCTTCATATATTGAGAGTTTTTAAAGGTTCGAATCCTTAGTCGGAAGTTTGTATTCCTATTACCTTGAGGTTGGAGGTTAAAATTCCTATCCCTACTACCCCTTTGAGGCCGAAAGCTAAAATTTTGATTACCCTTTGCGAGGTTCGAGGTTCAAATTTCTATACTCTTATTTGTTGTACCAAAAGAAACATGAAAAAGTATAAGACATCGAACTATTGTCATATTAAACTCGGGTGAAAATAAATTTGGAATATTTTTCATTTAAATTATTAATAGCATTTAAAAATAAATTACACTTTTGTGAATACGTTGCTTGAGCTTTGAGCAACTTCCAAGTACTACAAAATTAAACTGTTTGTGAACAACAACAATACTCTTACAACAAGACAGCCATATTTTCCGGCGTCGCCACCGTCTCCGCCGCTGTCTGTCTAATCTTCTCCGCCACATGCCCCAAATCTCTGGGTTGCAACTGAACTTTAAGTCCATACTTCATGAACAATGTCAGCGACATCTTCTGCTCAACCCGGTGGCCGGCAACCACCGTTAAGCGGTGGCGGAGCAACACGGCGGCCGCAATCGACTTCATTTGCAAGTAAGCCAAATCTTTCCCCAAGCATATTCTTGGTCCGGCATTAAAAGCAATGAATTTATAAGTATTTTGAAGCTCAATTTTGTCCTTATCTGAACCCAACAGCCATCTCTCCGGTTTGAATTCCAAACAATCTTCCCCCCAAATGAATTTCATCCGACCAATTGAGTATATTGAATACGTAACAGAGGAGCCGGCGGGGACGAAAGTTCCGGTGGGTAAAACGTCGTCGTTTATCACATGTTTTGAATCTTCCGGCACCGATGGGTAAAGTCGAAGAGTTTCCGACAAGGCAGCTTTCAGGTAAATCAATTTATCCACTTCTTCAAATCCCAACGGCTCTTCAACCCACGTGGATATATATTCGCCACGTGTCTCCATCAGAACGGTGCATATTTCGATGAGGATTTTTTCCTCCACTCTTGGGTTTTGACTGACCAGCCAAAAGAACCAGCTCAGTGCGACCGATGACGTGTCTCGTCCAGCTAGGATGAAGTTAAGCACCACGTGTTGGAGGAATTCGTCTGAGTAGGATTCCTTCTTTTTCATAAACCTTGACAGCAAGTCGTCGTGTGGAGTCCCATTATTGTCGACCTGGTGCTGACTGGACAGCTCGAGCTTACGTGTCTTGATGATATTTGTCAGGTATTGATTCGTGTCCTCAAGGCTTTGGGTTAAGGTGACCTCCATCCCGAGCCGGAGCCATTTTTTTAGCTTCCAGATAAAGCCAGGCAAAATAAAGCGACACAATGAGGCTTCAGTGGCTCGATCGAAAGCCAGTGCAAAGCCGTTTTCAGGCAATTCAAGCGCAAGAGTCTGTGGATCCTTACCAAAAGTCAACCCACAAATATTATCGAACGTAAGCCGAAGCAAAAGGTCCTGTAGATCAACTGGCTTAGCTCGACGTTGAGCCGACTCAAGAATCGGACAAAACCGATTCTTAATAGCTCGGCTAACCCAACGAGCCATGGCTTGGCGGAGAGTCCTAGTGGTAAATTCCAGTGCAGCAGTTTTACGCTGGAACAGCCACGTGTCGCCATCTGAATTGAAGATTCCATCACCAAGCAAATCATGAAACACAGCCTGCCAATTGGGCCCTTTAGGGTAATTCTCGAACCGGGTTTTTAAAATATGCTTAAGATTCTTCGAGTCGCACGTGACCGTCACGAGACCTTGCTTCTGAGCCAAAAACGGAATGGCACACGTGCAAGTCTGGTACGTGCCGCCAGTCATCCGGAGATTCTCTGCAATCCAGTCATGCAGTCGATGACCATTCTTAATCAGCCCAGGAAGACTACCCAATAGCGGCCAAACACGTGGCCCACTCAAGGACCGTCGGATATTCAAGAACCAAATCAAGTACGCCACCACCGCGCCGCCCAACGCCGCCGCCAGCGCCGCCGCATCCATTTCAAAATCAAAGGAAAAAGAGAAGGAGAAAAGCCATTTTTGGGAGTGATTGGGTGGGTTGATGAAAAAGCTATTATATAATGGCGAGGCTAGAGAGAGAAAGAGAGGAGAGAGAAGGACATTAATGGGGAGGCATAAATTACAGTTGAAGGAGTTTGTTCGAGGATTTTGTAGGAGACGAGGAAGGGGACGGGGACGGGGACGGGACGGGGACGACGACCCTATAAACCAGGCTGATGAATCCATCGCCATTAATACCACCAGATGTAGTTGGAGAAGAAGACCTAATTATCATCACACTTTAAAATTTTAATTTCATGTCCTTTTATATTATCCTTTTTAATCTTCCTTTTTTAGTATAAACAAAAACTTTATTCTATACTATAATTCATTTAAACTCTTTATATTTATAATATTAGTTTGGTTGATGTTACAAACGTCTATTCAAGGACCCACCTCGAAGCTGGCGAGTAATCTCCGTTTAAATGGGGAACAATAATAAGACCGAATTTTTCTAAGTTACGATTAGAGCAAATAATTTATTGATAATTATATTGTAATATTAAAACTTGAATTTTTAGAAATTAAGTCGGTAGACAGGAATGAAAAATTCTCTTAGCTTTCCACGTCCCGTTGACATATTTAGATTATAAGAGTAGCGCATTAATTAATATAAAATGAGCGAGAATTTTAAAATATATAAACAAATAAATTAGTTATATAATTATTAAAATAAAAATTAAAAAAATTACAACAAGGAAGTTGCAAGTGTCTATCAATTCATAAAGAAGGAATTACTTAATTAAGGGTGTGGCTTTTATTTTTTAATATATAAAATTTTATTTAGTTATTTATTATTTAAAAGAAAAAACCCTAAGCTAATAAATGTTGATGGAGATGAGTTATAGGTTATAGATATGGAATTCATGATATCAATAATTTAAATTTTGAAATTAATATCCTTTCCATAAAAGAAATATTTTAAAAGGAAAAACTTAACATGTGACAAAAATAATTAAAAAAAATTGGACATACGTGTAAATATAATAATGTGATAAAGAAAATTAATACTCGTGTAACTATCAACCTATGTCGATATACTTTTAATATAATTAATTTTTTTGAAGATCTTTTTTTCCATTTTGATTGAGTATATATACATGAGCTGTGACACTCGAGTAAAGAAGAGAATGAACCGAGAGCACATTTGAATGAGAGCGATCTTGAGAATAGGATGACTAAGAAAGGCTTGTAGGAATGGATAGTTTTCATTCGTACGAAGTGAAGAGTAGGTACCGTCATATAACGTCATTTTCTCCAATTAAAAAAAAAAAAAAAAGAAAGAAAAAAAAAAAGTGTTGGGAAACAAGAGTGAATGGGTTGTAAAGAAATTAAAGATGCCGAACTTGTAGTTGGGGCACCCTCCAATTTAGGGCCTTTGCCTAACTTTTCCTCAAAGCATTAATGGAAGAAATTAAAGATGCCGAACTAGAGTGACGTCACCCTATTCCATAATAATTTTATTTTCCTCAAATTTTTTAAAATATATATAAATCATTTTTTTTTAAGTTTAATATTATTTTTTAAAACAGTTTAAAAGGCGTTTTTTAATTTTAATTTTTTTTATAAAAAAGTTAAGAGTGATAATAAAATAGGGAAGCAATATTAACTAAAAGATATATTTAATATTTTTTAATTGTAATTAATAAAGTAAATGAAGAAAAAAATGCAAGAAAAAGGGCATAATTGTAATTAATAAAATCTTCAAATGCCCTCCAATTAACAATATTTTTAAAAAATAAATAAGAATTGAAAATAAAAAATCAATTTATATTTTAAAACTTTTAACATTTCTTCTATTAAGAAAAAGACTAAAATTTGAATCTGATGACCTTAACATTTTCCTGCATTTTTTATTCCTTGCTCGGGACCGAGGATTATCTGATTGTCTTAAACTACTAAGAATGAAGACCCTCCCTATATACTTAACTCATTTACGCGGCCATCACAAAAAAACAAGGCGAAAAATTTCACTTTCTATCTATGATTTCAAAACCGATCCCAGTTTTGAAAACAAAACAAAAAAACGTTTTTTGTTTAACATTTGACAAAGAATTCAAAAATAAACACCGTAGTAAGAAACAAACATAAAATTCATAAATAGAAACTAAAAATGAAATCGTTATCATACGAGACCTTGCTTGAACGAACGAAGGCCGCCACATCGACAAGCATTTCTTTTCTACATTGAAGGTGGAAGTGGTGATATTATTATTATGAACCCACAAATCCTAAGATTATTCTCAAGCTGCTAAGCTTTTTGATGCAATTTCAAACACATTTTCAGACAGTCCATTGGCAGACAGTATCTTCTCCAGTTGTGCCTGTAGATAGCATCACCATCATCAACAATCACATATTTTAACACAACCAAATGCCAGCTGATACTCAATCATGAAAACCAACATTACCTTAGCATGATTTTGTCGGTGTTCGTCGTAACGCTTCCATCTCGAGAACGCAGACACCATTCGAGAGGCAACCTAAGAATCAACACATTAATCAGAGACCAATATACATATTACAGCTCAACTCGATTCTACGGTTGAAGGAATAGGAACAGTCACCTGGGGATTGATTTTGTCTAGTTGCATTACAACTTCTCCCAAGAATTCATAGCCCGACCCGTCCTTCGCGTGGAAGTTGATGGTCGATCCACAGAAACCTCCAATCAAAGAATAGACCTTGTTTGGATTTCGCAGGTCGAACGCCTTGTGATTTAGGAGGTTCTTGACATTCTCAATATTACCAGGAATGTCTGACATGGCTTGAAGAGCAAGCCATTTATTCACAACCTAACACTCAAATATAGACCTTTTAGAATGAACCAACCAAGCAATCCAACAGTCTAAAACTCAGAACAAGACTTATAAACTACATCGAGTTACGCTACATCATCGAATGGGAAGAAAAGAATAAGTAGCGACTAACCAACCAAGCAATCCAACAGTCTAAAACTCAGAACAAGACTTATAAACTACATCGAGTTACGCTACATCATCGAATGGGAAGAAAAGAATAAGTAGCGACTAACCAAATAGTCATGCTGCCACTTGGCGTAGAAGTCAGCGAGAATCGTGTCACGAGTTTCACCTGGCTTCTGGGCTATAGCCACTAAAGCTGCAAATTGGTCGGTCATATTTGAGGCGTTCTTATACTCATTAAGCACAAGGTTGGCAGTCTCTGCATCCTCAAGTAATGCAAGATATGCTGAAAATCATAAGAAAATGAAGATATTAGTTGACTTAGAAAGTTCATGGAGCCAGTAGTTCGAGCATAAAATTAGTTTCCACGAGCAGACCGAGGGCAGTATTCTTTAAAGCACGCCTGGCCAGTTCGGGATGGTTAAACACATATGCTGCTGAACTCCTATTGTTTTCTACCTGTAAGATTAAAGATAGTTTATTTACAGATCAAATAGTTTAAACTTCAAGAGTATTCAGACTTCTTCATTAAATTGCAGGTTAAGAAAAGTTCGTACTGCGGCGAGAAACTCGGCTTTCAGTGCATTGGCCAGTTGCTTCCTAATGAAAGTTCGAACGGCATGAACAGCATCAGGATCTGCAACCTCCATCATGTCCATTATTTCCCCTTCACCAGGGAGAGTTATCGCTTTCGCAATGAATTCCTGGATTAGAAATGGTCATTAAGTGTCATCATCGGCCCAACGAAAGAACGGAAAGTAAGAAACTTCAAAAAACCGAAGTACAAAACCAAGTGCCCGACATACCTTATCCAAGCTCGAGTCAGTAAGTATGGATCTCAGACCCTCCACAAACTTCGAGTTAAGAACCAATGTCTTATTTTGTTGGTGATCAGACACCAGTTGCAGCATCAGTTTCCTTGCCAACACTTGTCCAGCCTCCCAACTAAATCACAAAACGACCAGAAAGGCGAGCTTTAATAGTTGTTCTACTGAATAAACCTTCAAAAGTTTTGAAATAAACACAAACCGGTTGAACTCATCCGAATCGTAGGCAAGAAGGAAAAATAGATCATCGTCACTTAGATCTGTTTCCATACGGACCGGAGCACTGTAGCCCCTAAGCAAAGATGGAACTGGCCGCTCCGGTATATTGGTGAAGACAAACTCTTCTTCTTTCTGCATCAAGCGTAGCGATCAATAGATATCGGAAAACGTGGTGTCCTAATTCCTAAATCTCCAGTACTTAGCAAATGAAATCATCAACTTAAAAACAAGGATCCCACATCGAGTGGAGAGGAGAATAAAGCATTTCTTTATAACGGTATGGAAACCTCTCCCTATCAGACGCGTTTTAAAAACCTTGAGGCGAAGCCCAAACAAAAGCCCAAAAGAACAATATCTACTAGCGGTGAGCTTGGGCTGTTACGCTAAGCTTGCTGGCATGTTCGACTACCTTAAGTGGCCAAATGGAGTCTACCATAGCTATATATAAATCTAGCTCAAACGTAGTTCGTAAATGAAACAATCACCGATTAATGTAATTTTCTCTGCTAACCTTAGTCAGCCTGAGGACTGTGGAGTAGACGGGCTGATCATTGTCGGATATAGACTGCAACACCCCATCATGATATATGGAGGAGAGACTCAAATTATTGCCAGATGAGTCTAGCAAACCAAGAGCAACAGGTATAAACATTGGCTCTTTAACTGCCTGCCCAGGAGTTGGTGGAACCTCTTGCCTGTCGAATTTGAACCGCTAAGCATAACTCGTAAACCAGATCAGAGAAGGTCAACAACATCGAACGAGTTATATACCTGAACTTCAGAGTAAACGTTCGACCGTCGGAATTGTAAGACGATGTAACTTTAACTTGAGGAGTCCCAGCTTGAGAGTACCTGTATTTTAGTTCAATTTATAAGCACTATAAATATTTCGTATCGAGTAAAATTCAAAATGAAGTCGGATAGCAATGAACACCATAGTAAGAAGTTAGCAAAATCAGCATCGTTTGCATCTCGCATTGCGGCGTAGAAATCTTCACAGGTAACAGCTTGACCGTCGTGTCTCTTAAAGTAAAGATCCATGCCCTGAGATATAAACAGCTTTGAATTACCCAAGTTCTTAAAGTTGAGAGCTATCATAAACAAGTTTGAAGTATCTTCAACCCTTACTTTTCTAAATCCTTGACTTCCCAATAAGGTTTTGTACATCCTCACAACTTCAGCACCCTAAGGTCACAAGACGTTAATTGTTCAATATCGACATTTTTCGACCGAGAGAAAAAGAGGAAACATTCTGCACAAAAGTCAAACCTTCTCGTACACCTGTAAAGAGCAATAAAAAATTAGATACTCATCATAGAAAGAGAAGAAAACGAGCATTACAGGCTACAGCGTGTAAAGACTAGACGATAAGCCTACCGTCACTGCATGTTCAAGTTGGTACAGGACCCGTGTCAGATCATAACTTGATAGAAGACGAAAATTAAGAAGCCGAGATTCAAAAAGAAGTCTACATCAGTAAACATTGAAGAAAAGAAACAAAAAAAATAGCTAGAATTTCGAGCAAACCCGTAAAGAACAACACTTTCCTGTGTAAAAGTTGTCCATCTGTAGAATGATGGGATTAAACCATTAGGAGATCTGTCATAATGAAATAGACATATACAGAAAAGAAGTCGATATATATATAACTATTAACCTTGATATAGGAGTGAGGTCGAACCGGATGAGCCATGGGACCAGAATCCTGCAGAATAGATATGAAGATACAAAATCAGCTTTAAATGCTAATTTCTGCACCATTTCGATTAGCAACTGGTATTAGTAAATGGGTCGCAATAGAAAAGGTAAGTATGATACAGTCCGTGCGCATGTGCGGTTATGAAAATCTCAAAAAATTGATACATGATACGAACCTGTGGAAACTGATAGTTTCTAAGTCTTGAAACATCAGCAATTCTTTTCACAGCACGACTTCCCATGTCAGATGAAAATTCCTATAGTCGAGGCAACGTGAAGAGTTTCCAAGGACCAATCGGGTATTTTATTCAAAATTGTAAATATCTCAAGGAGTAAATATCATACCTGATCACGAAAAACAGTAAGGCCTTCCTTCAAGCTCAACTGGAACCAATCACGACATGTCACCCTGCACGTATATATATGTTAATTCTGTCAGCAGTAGTATAAAACAAAGCACAAACCTGGAATACGTGCTCTAGTGAGATGGGATTATGAACAGGAAATAAGAAATGCATCAAGGAAAACACACAGCATATGACATATAAACTTCAAGATTATATTGGTTCGAGAAACAACCTGTTGCCGGTCCAGTTGTGGAAATACTGCAAAACAAAATTAAAAAAACACGTGATCATGTGGTCGTTAAAACTCTGCTCTAGTATTCAAGAAAATGCGATTCCCAGTTCTTGATTGACAAAGCTTTTATAACAAACCTCATGGCCGATCACTCCTAATATGGCAGCATAATCTCCATCAGAAGCAGTCTCGGGAGACGCCAAGACAAGTTTTGAATTGAATATCTGTTAACAAAGAAAAGGAAATGGCATGAATTCGAAATTTAAATCAGACACGTGGTCGCAAAAGAAACAAAGTTCAAGAGACGATACATTCAGACTCTTGTTTTCCATGGCTCCCCTGGTTCATTAAAAAAGAGATCAGAATCGACAAAATGAATAGAAACAAAAGCAAAAAAGAAAAAAATTAATAAATATAGACAACACACATGTTGAAATCGGGAACGGCCACAACGTTGAAGAGATCCAGATCATATTCTAGTCCAAAAACCTGTTTTCAACATACGAAAACAAATTTACATTGCATTAAATACAGTATATTGCTTGCATGCAAATCAATGAAAAATGTATTGATATACGAAAATACGAACATCTTCATCCCATTTCATAGCGGCCTTCAAAGAATACATCGCATGCTCGGTCTTGGGGAGGTCTTCAGCTGGGGTCCATATCTTCAAGGAGATTTTCCTACCGGAACGAGTAATAAAACTATCGTCTCTGCTTGCCAACTTGCCAGCTACTAAAGCAAACAAGTAAGAGGGTTTCTTAAAGGGATCCTCCCAAAGGGCATAATGTTTTCCACCCTGCAGAAAGAGTGCTTACGATGAACATTTAACAAAAGCATAATAAAATATGCTATCCGTTCATGTAAAATGAAGTTCACCTCTAAATCGCCCTGTTCTATAAGGTTCCCATTAGACAGCAGGACTGGGTACAATGACTTATCAGCTTCTATGCGACATGTGTACTTCGCCATTATATCAGGACGGTCCTGCTCAACATTCATGGTGCATTAGTTCGTTGTCGGATGACCTAAATTACAGATCTAGAGAAATCATTAAAACGAACTACCCGAACCTGGTAAAATGTGATCTTCCGGAAACCTTCAGCTTCACATTGTGTGCAGAAATTTCCAGATGATTTATAGAGTCCCTTCATCCAAAGGAAATTCATGGTCAGTTCTAGAGTTTCAATGCAAAAATAAAAAAATAACATCAATAATAAAATAAAAAAGAGAGAATTATCAACAAAATGTATGTTTACCTCTAGAGATGTGTTGTTCTGAGGACATATCTCATTGACAATTTCCAAAGTAAAAGAACCGGTTGGCGGTGATAGGATTGTCAAATGGCGGGAGTCCAGAACGTAATCTTCCTCCTAATTTCGGAGTATAAAAGATGAAATAAAGACAATAAGTCCATAAAATTTTATATGGGGGACTGCCATTACATCAAATATGATTTCATTCGAGCAACTTGCATAGGCAGTTAAAAATACACTCGAGAACGTATGCACTTGAGAACGTATATCTAAACCATACAATAATCTACCTTGAGGTCCTCATTGTTGACCTTAATTGATATCAACTTCACATCATCCCCATTCAAAACCAAAGGAAATTTGGATCCTGAACCAAATAGTCGAAACAATTGAATTGATTGTGGAAAGCTAACAATAGAGGAACCACGTTTACAGATGAAATACCGAAAATTTCATAGCTAACAACAATGCTTAACAGTACATTACGACAACAGTTAGTTGGAACTCCAAGTACCTTCAACTCTAGGGAACACCATTATTTTTGAATTGACGATTGTTTTCTCCTCGCCCAACAAAAACTTCAAATCGACCTATAGAATTTATTTTTTTTGTTGTAAGAAACGGCCACAGGGAAAGATTCAAATCCAAAGCTAACTTAACGTTTGCATACCGTATCGAAATAGTAATCGGGCATCTTGTAATCTTTCAAAAATATCTCTTTAGGTGTACCCATTTTGTTTTCTTCACCTTTTTCTTGCAATGCTTCTGTTGCAACTGAACAAATCAGCTTCCTACTAGATTGTTTAGCCTCCTGAAAAAAGTTGGACGGTGAACATAGTTAGCTAACATTTTGAAAAATCTACTAATACGTTCTGAAAAGCTAGAAACTTAAATGGTTAGCATGTTCAAAAGGAGAAGTTTTAATGGTAAAATCCCATAAGTGGTGATATATCAAGTTATAAGAGCGCTTACAAATGGTAAATGGTACGGAAATCGATAATTCTGTCGAGATTTCACCTGAAAAGGAAAAAACACAATAAATGAAATCTTTAGAAATGTCCCACACTTCTTACAAACCCTAAAATTTGAAACGCGTATAACGAACAACGATACGGTAATCTGTCTATCAACGATAAGTAAAATCCAAAAAAATGATGAAAGTTGCAAGAACCTGTGAAGTAAACAAAGCCCTCGGCCTACTACCACGTTTAACCGAAATTCCAAATGAATTAACACAACGATGTGAAGCTCGAACCTGCAAAATCACTGCATCGGTAATTTTATTTACAGACGAAAATGAAGAACAAGTGCATGCTCAACTTTCCCAATTTGAAGTTTCATGTACACAAGATTTCATGAACAAATCTGCATAAAGAAGATGGAAAGTAGCCAAAGAAGCCCAAATTCCCAATTGTTTGTAACATAAAACATAGCATAAGATCAGACCAAGCCATTTTACAGCCTCAAATGATAAGGAAACTAATCAGAGATGGTACTAAACCCATCGTTCTTTAAGATAATTGTATACAACAACAAACATAAAGAAAAGAAATGAAGCAAAAACTGGGAAATGGGTAATCACAGGAGCAGATGAGATCAAACCCAAGAGGTTATTCCTTGCCAATCCAACGCCCTTGCATGGTAGAACCAACCGGGCCATTCAGCTAAAACAATCCTGAACGAGCTACTAATATCAATTACTTACAACAAATCCAGAAACGAAACGAAACCTAGACGAAATTAAGCGACACCCAGATAATCAAAAACCAAGCCCAATCCAAAAGAGGATTAGAACCAAAAAAAAAAAAGAAGAAAGCCCCTCGATAAGAAAGCACGATAAACCAGAGCAGAACGATCCAGTTCGCTCTTATCTAAAGGAGATAGGGATAACCCCATATCTGGATAGGAAAAAAAAATCAAAAAACTAAACATAAATTAAAAAATTAAACCCTAAACGCAAGTTACCTCGATTCAAATGCAATGCAGAGAAAAGAGACCTTCTTCAGCCTCCACTATTTCACAGGGATGAACAAAGCTGTTGGGTACCGGAATCATAGATATTTATAAGAAAATGAGAAAATAAAAAAAAAAAGCTAAAAGATTAATTATGTGAGTGTTTTTGAGAGAATACAATTATAGAACGAATCCAATACAATTATAGAAGAAGCATAGGTGTTAGAAATTGTAATGGGTATCATATTTTACTGATTTTTTCGTGTGTATCAGGCAGTTTTTCTGAAGTAAATCAAAGTTTTTTTTTTTTTCAACAAATTCAAAACCCTAAATTTATTATTATTGTTTTTTTTTTTAAATTTAGAAATTTATTAGTTGTTATTATCTGATTTTCTAATTTATTATTATTGTTAGAAATTTATCCGGTTTTCTAATTTATTAAATTGAAAGTTCCTATTAGATATAATTAATAAATCAATTAATTTTAAAAATTTATTAAAACCTATTAAACACAAAATTAAAAATTTAGAATTCAATATCTAAAGATATTTATTTGGTGCATATTTCAATGAAAATACTTTATTATAAAATTCTATTTTAGTCTGTCAAAATACTTATAAAAAATCTTTAGTTTGAAGCTAATTATTTTAAAATTAAATAAATAATAATAATATATAATATTAAGATTTAGGGTATTAAAAAATAACTTTAGTTAGGATTATTAAAATTTTTATAGATTAATTTGGTTTATTGATATTTTTTTAAAAATAATTTTAATAAAAAAACATGAGAATAAAGTTTTGGGTATTAATTCTATATTATCCATTGAATTAAAAATAAATAAATAATAAGTAATTTATAAGTTTTGTGTTAATTTTTATTTATTTGACTAAAAAAAATTAAATTATAGGAATATTATTCAGATGTATTTTTATAAAATTTAATTTTTAATAAAAAAAAAAATCTTTTTTTGAAGTTGATTTGATGGGACTAGAAAGTTGTGGTAGAGAATGGTGATCTAATGAGGTAGGAGTAAGTGGGACCCATTAAATGGTACAAATGAGAATAAATCAATAAAAACAAATTAAAAATTAAAATATACATTTCTTTTGTTTAAGTTTGTCTCAAAATTAACCACGATACTTAGTTTGGGTTCAATGCAATCTTACGAATACCGTGAGATTCTACCTTAGTTGGAGAGAGAAACGAAACATTCGTTATAACTGTGTGGAAGCCTCTTCCTAACCGACGTGTTTTATAAACCATAAAACCATATATGCTAGATGGATTTGGACTGTAACAGTTTCAATAGACATAAAATGAGTTTTACTTGGTGGCCCCACCATTCCACGTTATTTAAAAGGGAAGACTGAAGTTCTTAAGATTGAGTCATTGAGAAGAAACGTGCATCTTGTTAGTATAGATAGTAATTATAAATCTTCTTATCGTTAGGATCATTCTTATTCGAATGTAATACCAATTCATTTATATATTAAATATATTAATCCATAGATTGGATTGATACGGGAGCATGTGCCCACAAGAGGAAACCAAATTAGGGTTTTGGAGTGATGTTGAGTTATGAGAACCAAACTTTCAATTTCTTTGTTGGATTCCAAGTCAACCAAACACTATCTCTTTCTTTGATAGTGATGGTGTTGGTTACAAAGCTACCAAAACCCCTATTATGATATCATACTGTAACGCTCATTTTTTTTCAGAGTCCTAATTCTTAACGTGATATTAAAATCAGGTGTTAGGTGGTGTGTTTGCGAAGACATTAGACTCCTAAGGGAGGTAGATTGTCCTATCCTACGTTGACTAGAAAGGGGAACAAAATATTATTGATGAATGTATGTAAATCTCTTCCTAACAGTCACATTTTAAGAATGTTAGAGGGAAAAATACAAAGGAAAAACTCAAAGAGAACAATATATACTAATCATGAGCTTGTGTTGTTACATTATAAGGCAAATGTAATTGAAAAATTGATTGAGATATACATATTTGTGATCTCTATTAAAAGCGTTAATGACAAAAAAAGTTATAGCCAACCCGAACATTGAGTTGCCTATTAGACACGAAATTGAAGGTCTAAGATCTTAATAACAATGTAAACAAATAAGTTACCGAACTTATCGAAAACACAATCTAAAGTCTAGTACTTTCTTTACTTAACTAAGCTCAAATTAAACCAATGCAAACAAATAAGTTTGTATTAAAGTTATAATAGTTTGACCCACAATTAGTCGACCGAAAATCTATGAATTCAAATGCTAACATCCTCTCCTCTCTTTCTCTCTAAAGATAGCTTTTGACTTTGATTACAGACAACTAATGTCGGCCTAATAGCTTGCAATTACATGGAAGCACGATGGAGCATGACTAAAAATATGGCATTTAAAGCTACAACCAAGAGGAAGGTAACCCACAAGGTAATAATGGAAATGTATTTATAAAGCACCTCAAAATTATTGCACAAAAGGTAACAATAACTTTAATGGGGTTGTTTCATAATCCCATTTTGAATCCAATTCCAATCAAACTAATCCCCACAAAATAATTAGGGTTTAATCATGGGGGCCGCGAAGGAGCTGAGAGTTTGCGCTATTTTCTTCTCTGTTTAGGGGATAAGGGTTAAAAACCCAGAAAGAGGAAGCCATTTCCAGAAGGGTTTTGAAGATTGGAATGAACCCATAAGGCAAAATCACTGGGTTTTTCTTTTCTTTTATCAAACTTTCACTTCAGTTATAAATGTTCCTTTCTTTGAAGGGTTTGTGCCCTTTCTGGGATTGTGGAGCCTACAAAGCATCCCTTCGTCAGATCCTTGGCCTGGGACCCTTCTTTTTGTTCTTCCCAAACCCAAAAATTCTCCATCTCTCTCAGAAACACTGAGATTTTCTTCTCAAGAGAGAAAATAAGGGCTTAGTGGGGCTGTTTTGTTGGCATTTTGGAGGGAGTGTTTGTCTAATATCAGCACAGGAGCCAGGGGCCACTTGGATATTTTCTTCTTTCTCTGTAAAAGGTTAGCCAATATTTGCTTTCTTTTCATCTTCTTTGCTAATTTTGCTCTGTTTTCTGAGTTTTACTATCTCTTTCTTCAAATGGGTCTTTCTCAAATCTATGTGAAACGAGTAAGAACTCATTCATTCAGCTTACTATCTAGTATTTACTGTTCCAATGCTTGTGTTCTTGGCTTTTGATATCAGTTCTTATGCTGATTTTGTGGTAATTGATATCTGTTTGGATTGCTGGAATTTGAACTTCGCGCTGAGTTTTCATTGTGTGGCTTTCCATTTCATTGCTAGGAACTGAATCCATGAATCTAGAGGCATAAGATCGAATACCCATGTGAGAGCTTTTGAGATTTGAAGTTAACTCAGATCTGAGTTTCTATAATCATTGTTCTTTACGTTCTCTGCTGGAAGAATTCTGTAATGTTACTCTTTAGATCTTGAATGCCATTGAATTTGCCTGTCCTTTTGTTTGATGTCATTGAAGATGGCTCTGCCAATGATTGTTTTACTTTCATCGGATGATTTGAATTCAAAGGGGTGTCACATTCAGAATGCAAACTTTAGATTCTCTGTATTAGCTTAAAGAATGAGCTTTTGTGGATATGGATGTCGGAGAAGAAAGCTCCCGGTTCGGCTCCTTGCCTACTACAACTTCTAGAAACTTGTCGTCGTCGTCTTCGACGTTCTATTCAGCACTTCAGTCGCCGTTTTTTTCTCCAAGGTCATCGACATGTCGAAGGTCAGATGTATCAAAGGCAGAATTGGAGTCTGAAAGCATGGACTTCAGAGTCGATCCAATAAGCTCCGGTTTGGTTGTTCCAGATTCTGAATCTTTGTCGAAAGCCAAATTTGCGGTTTCAGATATGATATGGAATCCCGATACTTGCATTCCGTTTGATTGTCCGAAGTTTGATCTAGCCTCATCCTCAACTGGAATATCTGGAAGTACTCCTTATGTGTGGCCTAGGGAGAAGTATAGGGAGAAGTATAAAAAGCATAGCAGAAGTAACTTAGCTTCTTACTCAACAGTTCCGATTTCGATTTCGTCGACTAGACTACGGAGTTACGATGTTTTCATAGGTTTGCACGGTTCCAAGCCTTCATTGCTGCGGTTTGCTAACTGGGTTCGTACAGAGATGGAGGTTCATGGGATGAGTTGCTTCGTGTCTGATAGAGCAAAATGTAGAAACTCTCGCAAGCATAGAGTTACCGAAAGGGCAATGGATGCGTCGTCGTTTGGAATCGTGATTCTAACAAAGAAGTCGTTCCAGAATCCTTACACGGTTGAGGAGCTTCGGTTTTTCTCGAGCAAGAAGAACTTGGTCCCAATATTTTTTGATTTGAGCCCAGGAGATTGCCTTGCTAGAGACATAGTGGAGAAGAGGGGAGATCTGTGGGAGAAACATGGCGGTGATTTGTGGGTTATCTATGGAGGATTGGAGAAGGAATGGAAAGAAGCCATTGAAGGGCTTTGTTATGTTGATGAATGGAAATTAGAAGCTCAGAATGGTAACTGGAGGGATTGCATACTGAAAGCCGTTATGTTACTTGCAACGAGGTTGGGAAGGCGAAGCGTCGTCGAGCACTTGACGAAGTGGAGGGAGAAGGTAGAGAAAGACGAGTTTCCATTCCCCCGTAACGAGAATTTCATAGGCAGGAAGAAGGAATTATCAGAGCTAGAATACATACTTTTTGGCAATATAGCTGGTGATTTGGGAAGAGACTACTTCGAACTGAAAGCCCGGCCGAGACGAAAGAATTTGACCGTTGAAACGTGCAGCAAGAAGGGTAAAGAACCTATTTTGTGGAAGGAGTCCGAAAAGGAGATCGAAATGCAGAGTATTGAGTTTCCTCTACAGTATCGACGAGTGAAGACGAGAAGTGGTGAAAGGTATGCCAAGAGAAAAAGAACAGCCAAAATATTGTATGGGAAAGGCATTGCTTGCGTTTCGGGTGACTCGGGGATTGGTAAGACCGAGCTTCTCTTAGAATTTGCATATCGACATCACCAAAAGTACAAGATGGTTTTATGGATCGGAGGCGAAAGCAGGTATATCAGGCAGAATTATCTGAACTTAGGTTCGTTCCTCGAAGTCAGTGTAGGATTTGGAAATTTCTCAAGTAAAAGCAAGATAAAAAACTTTGAGGAGCAGGAAGAAGCAGCCATTTCGAGAATTCGTACCGAGCTGATGAGAAGCGTTCCTTTTTTGCTGATAATCGATAACTTAGAGTGCGAAAAGGATTGGTGGGATCACAAACTCGTGATGGATCTTCTTCCTCGTTTCGGTGGAGAGACGCATATCATAATATCGACTCGACTTCCTCGAGTGATGAATTTAGAGCCTTTGAAACTATCATACTTATCGGAGGCTGAAGCAATGTGTTTAATGCAAGGTAACCTTCGAGACTACTCGATTGCAGAGATCGACGTTTTGAGAATCATTGAAGAGAAAGTTGGAAGGTTAACGTTCGGACTTTCGATAATCGGTGCGATATTATCCGAGCTCCCCATAACACCTACTAGATTGTTGGATACAACTAATAGAATGCCCGTCAAAGATCAATCATGGAGTGGAAGGGAAGCTCATGTATTTCGGCGCAATACCTTCCTTATGCAGCTTTTCGAAGTATGTTTTTCTATTTTTGACCGTGCCGATGGGCCACGGAGCTTAGCAACTAGAATGGCTCTAGCCAGTGGTTGGTTCGGTCCAGCTGCTATCCCGCTTTCACAGTTAACCGTTGCAGCACACAAGATACCGGAAAAGAGACAGCAGACGAGGTTGTGGAGAAAGTTGTTAGCTTGTGGTTTCACTTCATCTTACACGAAAAAATCGGAAGCCGAAGCGACTTCGGTGCTTTTAAGGTTCAATATGGCAAGAAGCAGCACGAAACAGGGATGTCTGCAGTTCAATGATCTTGTCAAGCTATACGCGCGCAAGAGAGGGTTGAATGGAGCTGCACGAGCGATGGTTCATGCTGTCATGAACCACCGGTCGATAATTCATCACTGGGAACATATGTGGGCAGCATGTTTCTTGCTTTTTGGGTTTGGTCGAGACCCTGTGGTCGTCGAGCTCAAAGTGTTGGAGCTGTTATACCTCATAAAAGAAGCAGTCTTGCCGCTTGCCATCAGAACATTTCTCACATTCTCCCAGTGCACCACCGCATTGGAACTTCTCCGGTTATGCACAAACGCATTAGAAGCTGCAGATCAAGCGTTCGTTACCCCGGTCGAGAAATGGCTCGATAAGTCACTTTGCTGGAGGCCAATCCAAACAAATGCCCAGCTGAATCCATATCTTTGGCAGGAGTTAGCTCTATGCAGAGCAACTCTATTAGAAACCCGAGCAAGGCTAATGCTGAGAGGGGGACAGTTTGACATTGGGGACGATCTAATTCGAAAGGCGATCTTCATCAGAACGTCCATATCTGGCGACGATCATCCCAACACCATATCTGCTCGTGAAACTCTCAGTAAACTCAATAGGCTTATTGCTCATTTCCATACATATTCTTCTCCATAGGCTCAACAATTCTCATGTAAGGTATAATTTTTACTCCCTAGATTGATTGATTATATACCAAGAATGTCAAATAAACCACTGTATACTTTCCCATGAAATTCTTTAATACAATTCTAACCCCTACTTATAGCTGTTTTTTCGACGGGAACCAACACCCTTAAATTTTGCCTCGTTTATGTTTCGGTTTATAATCCCATAAGGTGTTTTGGAGTCCATATGTTTCATCATCTCTTCTCTTGAATCGACAAATATACCATTGAAACACGTGCAGGTTAGACGAGTCTATGTTGCCGATGTTCATGTCGTAAGTATATAAATCCAACTCAACAACACAACAAAACAACAAAACGAGATGATCTAAATGTCTGTTGGGTTTATATATTAAATGGTAAATGACAACATATGAAACATTATATCATAGTTTTACATTAATGTACACAACAACTATCATGAAAAAGACAAGACAGTAGAGCTAAGAACCTTCTCCATAGCTTTACTGAGTTTTTCAATCATTTACAGAGATCATCTTGATGTTTGTTTGTTTGTACTCTGTCATTCAATCATCAGCTTGGCCTGCCATGCCCTCATCATTTGAGGAATAATCATCTTCACTCAGCTCCTCATCACTAGATTTCTCCTCAGGAGCAGCTCCAATGTCCTCTGGCTTTGCATATTTCTCACAGAATTCTGGACAAGCATGATCGAAATGTAAAAAAAGAACATTGAGATAGGGGGGTCTTACAGGTTTCGAACCATGTAGAGTTTTGGACGTTGGGTCAGGTTGGGGGACGGGGGAGGAAACTAATCAATACGACTGCTTTAGTGTGGCTGCTAAGTTTATAACCATTAGATGTACAAGAGATCGGAGAGATCGAAAAGTGAGTATTAACGATGTATCCGAAGTGACAACCATATGGTCAATATCAATAATTTCGTAATCAGAACACGAAAGGGTTTGGCAAAACGGAGAAGAGAAAGAGTGTCCGTGAGGACGCTAGATCCCGAATCGGTCGGAGAGGAGAACGAAGCCTTCTTTATAAGGGTGTGGAAATCTCTCTCTAGCAGACGCATTTTAAAAACCTTGAGGGGAAGCCCGGAAGGGTAAGCCTAAAGAGGACAATAACGGCTAGTGGTGGGTTTCGACTGTTACACCCATCATCACTGAAATATGAATTTCTTTACCGATGAAGCTCGGGGCTACTAAGTTTATCATGTGGATTAGCACAACATAAACAACCAAAAATCGAGTTTGCAATAAGAAAATCCTCAGCCATTATCATATAGAAAAACTACTAAATCTGGTTTTCGTGTCACCACCCAAGCCAATGGATTAAAATTCGTTCAAACTACCAAATCTTCGATAGAACTTAAAAGTACCTTTTACTCTTTGCTCGTATGCAGTACGATCACGCATCATTACGGCAGCAGCTTCTCCATTCAATGGGTCGGACGGATTGGGATACAAGAGAAGTTGTGGAAGAAACACATCGAAAACATTTACAAGGTCTGTACAGCAGAAAAAACCCCGAATTAGACCACAATTCCTCGGTTGCATTGCAGCATTACAATATCCACAATGTAAAAACCAATTGGTCACCATAATATATAATCCCAAAAAGAAGTTTCCTACCAAACATAGGGCTCCATGTCTGGTTGATAACATCCAAACACACCGAGCCCGACCTACAATTCATAAACATCGACATCAACAGCCTGCCCATAGTAAGAACCAATGTAATAAGTTTCGACGTCGAAGTCGGTCAACTCACATTTCATCAACATTTGGATGATAAATTTTGTTGACAAAGCCAATTGAAGGTGACTTGTAAGGATAAGCATCTGGCAACTCCACCTTAATCCTCCACACACCTCCTTCATAAAGACCTTCCAGTTTCAAGGAAATCACATAAGAAATCCTTCAATCCAAATTCATATCGCCGAGAAGTGTCTAAATCAACAGGGCTTAATTTCAGAAGGGAAAGCCAGCAAGAATTAAGAACAAGTTCTAAACACCAAACACTCTAGATTTAGAAGAACAAAACTAGAAAGCCTCAAAACAATAATCATAGGATTACAAAGTTCTCAAGCCATCTGGAAAAGGGGGGAATCATAAAGAGACAGAATCAACAAAATTAACAAAACCCTATTGAAAAATCAAAGAAGGATATAGAAGATTTACTGTCTTTAGGTCCATGGAAGTCGACATAGAACTCTTGCATGCTATCATTGATCGTTTCGACCTTATAATCGCTCATCATCCTGATTCAAATCAGCACAGTCAAACCAGAAGCGTAAAAGAAGAACAGAACAATCAAATCGGAAGGCGTGGAAGGTGGAAAAACTTACAATTTCATCAAATCCATCTCGCGGCGCTTGCTTGGAGAAGACATGGATTAGGTCCCGAGAGAGAAAGTGGAAAGAAAGGCAAGAAATAAGCGGAGATAGGAAGAGAAAGGAGATTTCCTTCGAACACGGAAGCAGTGATTCAAGGTGTTGGCGATTAGAAGTAAAAGAAGAGTCAAATTGTTGGCTTAAAAGATAAAAAATTGAGGAGAAATTAATGGAATTTATAGAAGCTTTGTTCTTGGAGCTATGGAAGAATTGGGAGATGGCTAAGTTGAGATTCTTTTAGCTTGCCACATTCTCATATAAATGTAATATAATTTCTTTTATTTATTTATTTATTTATTTATTTTTATTTAGATGATTGTTAATAAAAAATAGGTTATGTACGTTGGATTTTGTTATAAATTTTAATCAATAAATTTTAAAATTAGTCCGTTAGTTTAATTTTTTTTTTTTTAAATTTCGAAACAAATTAATCTATATCGACATTCTTTTTATAAATTGTGTGAATATTCACGTGATATATAATAATGCGTTTATATCGACAACGATATATAACTGGTCACAGCAGATAATATCTATTAGTAGTGGGCTTAGGTTGTTACAAATACCCTAGATCCGATCAAAACTGCGCAATTAAGGGTGTTTGGGCGAGAGTAGTACTAAGTTGAGTGACCATATAAGTTCTTGTGTTGCACTCTTTTTTGGGTTAAAGTAGACAATATATACTAGCAGTAGGTTTGGATTGTTTCAAATGATGTTAGAGCCAAACAGTTGGTTATGTGCCAACAAGGACGTTGGGTTCTCAAAGGTTGGAGAGTGGAACAGAAGCTTCTCCCTAGTAGACACGTTTTAAAACATAGAAGTTAACGAACAAGTTAAAGCGGACAATATTTATTGAGCTTGAGTGGTTACAATCTAACCCAAATAGTATGAGTTTGATTGGGTTAGATTTTTCTTTTTGTTTCAATTAGGTTGAATTTTTGGAAAATCAAAATTTTGGTTCGGTTCATGGGTTATGAGATTTTAAGATTGGTATAAAAATTAAGAATATTTGACGTTAGTTAGTGATGTATTATGAGATTTTAGTTATTCATCTAACACGTATTGCCGATAACTAGAAAAACAAAACGTTGGATTTATTGGATTATAAACCCTATTCGAGTCACCAACTCAACTAATCTAAAATTTCGGGTTGATCCAAAAAATTCTTGATTTATATATTGTTATACGGGATTAAAATTGTACGATTGAAAGTAGAAAACTAAAATATAATAAAATTTAAAGTATATGGACAAAAAATAATGTTAAATTGGTGGTTATGTCTAAAATTATTTACGTTTATGCACTTTAATTTTGTATCTAATAAATCTTATTTTAAACTTTTAATTTTACTTATTAATACCAATAATTATAAGGACAAAGTTTTAAAAATGATCACAATTTAAAAAATAAATAATTGTAGACAAATATATGCCTTAAAAATTTATAAAATTACTATTTTATCTGTTGGAGTAAATTTTTATTTCGAATTTAATAATTATATATATATATATATATATATAATATTAATAAAAAGTATGAGAAATTATTTGATTTTTTAAGCTAAAATTATATTTAAAAGCCACGTGTCAAATGAACATAAAATAATAGAAAATCCAAAATTAAGCTCAATTATTTAACTCGTGAGACCCATTACTCAATATTGCAACGTAAAAAGACTGATTTAACCCTCACCAAATATTCAACATTAAAATTTAAACTAAATTATTTAAAAATTCCCAAAAATAAAATAATAATAAAAAACATTGGAATCTTCGATTATTAAAGAAGAAAAATCATTCTAATGGATAAGGAAGGTTTAGCATAGAGGAGACATGTTTATGAATGGACACAAATAAAAATAATTAATTTTTAATTCCCACTTTTCTTTTAAATTTGCTGCCTGCCGACCAATCACAGCCGTCTGATTCGGGATGCGTTTGATGATCACAAGGCTCTCCATCATTGCTTCCCTTTGGAATCCGAATGTAATCTATTGGTTTACGCTACTCATGATTGCACCTGATCTTAGCCGGCAAACCCATCATTTTTTTTTTTTAAATTTATTCACCTTTTAGTTCAAAATTAATAACGTTATCAATTAAATCTTAAAATTTCAAAAATTGGATAATCTTCTTTTATTTTTCAATAAAGAATTATCTGATAAATTTCTAGCTACTATATAATTCTTTTTTTTTTTTAAATAAATTTATTTAAGTGATTTGAGATAATTTTAAATAAAATACAATAAAAAATAGATACAAAACAGAATGTAGTTAAATACATATTTAAAATCTTGTCATATAATAGATAAATTAACAAAAACTAAAATAAATATTTTTAGAATAATTTAAAAATGTAACTAAAAATGAGATTGAGTACCATCTCTAAATATTTTTTTATACAAAATCAGGAGAAAAGATTATAGAATAAAAATTTAGAAAAAAAAGAAGAAAAGAAATTGATACATTTTGAAGGTATCTATTTGAAATTATGTTAGAATGGAGTTTGATTGAGTAAATTAAACCACTTTAAACCATAGGGATTTGAAGATTCATTCAGTGTATTCTTGAAAGTCTAAATCGTACCAATTTCAACCTTAATTCATTGAACTTACCAAGTTGTATGCTTCAAATTAATGCAAAACTAAGACGTCACGTTTCCTCCAAATTTAATATGTTTCAAAGTACAATTACACCATTATTAACAATAAATACTATATATAAATTTAAAGATAATCAATGTTTCTCTATATGCTCGAGCATATTAATATTATTCTTCCAAACCCGAGTATAATTTAACTCATTTTTGACCAAGAAGTCAAAGACTATAATCCTTTTTCTTCCATTGAACATCTAATGAAATGAAGTCTCAAGTCATTCTAACGAGCATCTTTTATGGTATGTAATGAATGGAGGGAAATTTTTTGGAATCTTTCACCCCCATATATGTTAGAACTAAATCATTACAAAAGACGCTTCTATTTTGAAACCTAAATCATTACAGAAGCATATTGCTAGTGTAATTAACCATACTTGTTCTTCATCAGAGTCCTTGAAAAGCTAATAACATAATTTGCATGAATACTATACTTTTTTTCTTCATTTTAATTCCATTTATGACAAATCATAACTCCTGATAAATGGAACTAAAATGAAAAACCAAGCTCAGATATACTATATATATTGCACAAACTTTATTTACATCCCCCCCACCAAAAAGGAACAAAAACAAAAGAAAAGAAAGAAAGAAGAATCATTCTCCCAATTTTCCCCCCATTTTATGTTCAGACGACAAATTCACAAAGAAAAGAGTGCAACAGGAATGAAGAAATCACTCATTAAGGAAAAAGAAGAAAAGAGAAAACGAACTAAAAGAAACAAACCTGAAGCTTGCAGCTGGATGCAAAATCACGGGAACTTTATAACCTATACTTTCAACTTTACTTTCAATGTCTTGTCACTAATCAATTGGAGGGCTGAAAACCATTTCCTGTATGTCAGAGGCAGATGATTAGGACATAAAGAAAGGTAATCTTGGTGGGTTACACGCTAATGAGTATGAGGTGATGACGGATGATAAAGCATAAACTGAAACACACCTGATCGCACACAGGACAGATATCACTTCTTTCCATCCATTCCAAAATGCATGCAAGATGAAAATGATGCTCGCATTTTGTTGTAAGTTTTGGATTCTCTCCGTCATATTCTGCATAAGACAATAGAAAATGATGACTAGGTGGCTTGTTAGGTCAAGTAATTAAAATGAAATGGTACTGTGCAGTTGTCGAGAAAGCAACAATGTTGTGACTTGTTAGTTCAAGCAACTAAAATGTCGAACGTTGGCAATAGACATATAAGGTTAAAAAAATTCCACGGATTGGTGGGTTGGTATAGGTAGCTAAACAAAGTTTTGGCAAAACTTCACCTTCCAAACAGATGGGACAAACATCCTCCTCTTCAATTGGTAAGACCACAGATTTCACACCCTTTGAAAGTTCGATTTCAGATTCCTTTAATGTGTCCACTTCAAAATCTGTATGCTTCTTGCAGTCTGACTCATCGTCGATGCCTTCACATTTGGCTGAAGTTTCCCGAGTGTTTATGCATGTTGTTTCTTGAATTGTATCGGAATTGGTAGTCTGAGCTGCAGCATCATTCTTATTACTGCAGATTTCTTGAGCCACAGGTGGAGTATGTGGATGTGATAAAACAACATTATATGGCATAGGCAATGGAGGCGATCTATACGTGTCTGGGATTGATGTATCCAGGTTTGTATCGACTAAAAGCCCCATTGGAAATGCTGGGGGAGCATTAAGTGGAGATGACAGGGGAACATGCTCCTCCGATGCTCTTGGGTACTGCATCAAAAGTTCAAAACTTAGATCCAAGTAAATTGAGATTTTGAGCAAGGAAATTGACAATGGAAAGAAAATTCCTTACCCATCATGTTAGTTAGCAGTTAAGCGCTTGCGAGATCAAATAATAGAAACTGTAGCTTTTGAGTGTATGTCACGTTTATAACTTAAATTTAAATCAACTTGCATTATTTATTCAAGTGTAATACACAAGCTTCTCCTAGAATCACAGCCAATCTAAGTTGATTCATGCTAAGGCAGAAGACTTCTATGGAAAACACAAAGATGCTGAATTATACCATAAAATGCAAAAAATTACTTATAAAAAGAAGCTTCATTCAAGAATTCACTCTCGCACTGCAATCAGTTCAGTTTTGTGCCTCAAATGATGCAAGTTACGCTAACTTACAGTTTATAACGGAATACCTACAGCTACATGCATTTAGAATTGCTGCCAATGATAATAAAGAAACGAATGAATACCAGATGATGGCTGCATTGTCCTTGCTTACGATAATGAATTTGATTGATAAGAAGATGACAATAAACATCCAATGAAAAATTCAATACTGACATAATAGTAGCCTGGTGCAATATTTGATTCTGTTTCTTTCGAGGAACAGCAGCAGCAACCTCCCATTTCAGCTTACTTATCTACAACACACACCAACAAATCATGGCACTAGTAGCAATACGTCCTCAAAATTTTATGGACTGCCAACCCTGTTACAGAAAACATCCTAAATTAATTTAACTGCACAGTTCCCTCTGCACAATTTTCAGGAAAGACATGTCTAGTTTATGTAAAATCA